CTTTGAAGTCATCTAAAAATCATTATCATGATGTTTATCAAAAGTTTAAGAAAAGTCAATGGTAGCAGCAGCAACCACAGGCTGGGATCCAACGTAATCTGAAAAAATCACCAACACCAAATAAATTCTATCAAAACTTTAGTTTCTCGCCAAACCAGGGAGCGACAAGTAACTAAGAAGAGTTCAAATGAGTTGGGATGAGCTAGAGTGAGCCAAAGTGATGTAATGTGACGAAACAGAGACCAGCCTCTTTCTTTGCTCAGTTTTGGCTCACTCCTACTCCCTGCAACTCAATGTAAATCATCGATGCTCCTAGTTGCTCAGCCCTTGCGAGAAAACTAAAGCTTTTATTACGTCATAACACTTTGAAGTCATCTAAAAATCATTATCATGATGTTTATCAAAAGTTTAAGAAAAGTCAATGGTAGCAGCAGCAACCACAGGCTGGGATCCAACGTAATCTGAAAAAATCACCAACACCAAATAAATTCTATCAAAACTTTAGTTTCTCGCCAAACCAGGGAGCGACAAGTAACTAAGATGAGTTCAAATGAGTTGGGATGAGCTAGAGTGAGCCAAAGTGATGTAATGTGACGAAACAGAGACCAGCCTCTTTCTTTGCTCAGTTTTGGCTCACTCCTACTCCCTGCAACTCATTGTAAATCATCGGTGCTCCTATTTGCTCAGCTTTTGCGAGAAAACTTAAGTGTCTTTTGACGAAATTAAACGAGGTCAATCTCATTTTGGTGTAGAACAGATACTTTTTGATAATTAAATATAACAATTTAGTTAAGTTAGATATAAGAAAAATATAACATATATAACAATAATTTAATTAAATATAACAACAATAATTCAATTAAGAAAAAAATTATTTCCAACCAATTTTTTTCTTTATTTCCAACCAATCTTTAACACAAGAAACAGAAAGGTTATTACAATACTGACAAGGTCATTATTTAAGTCACTTTTTAGCAAGCAGTTCTGCTCTTTTTTTTAGAGAATCAGGGGTCCGTTTGCTATTGAAATTAAATCTAGGATCCTTAAGCATAGCCGTCCACTTTCCAAATCCATAAACTTTCAAACTTTTTTTTAGAAAAAAGTCCTCCTCTGGAGTAAATGGCACCCTTCTACTGACGACTGGCTTTGCTTTCAACCTGTCAGCATTGCAATCTGGGCGCGAGTAAGCTCTACACGATTCGTTACCCCCTTCGTCAAGATTGACGCAAATTTTTTCTTTCCGATTTCTTCCTGGCGTTATTTGCTGGTGCTGTTCGGTTTCTTCCAAGCAGCAGTCTTGATCAGACGAATCTTTGTTGTCTAGAATGATTCTTTTTAAACTTCTATCAACTTCTTTGTTCTGCAACTTTTTCATCGCCGATTTGGCGTTTACTGCAATTTCGCGTGAATTGCGCTTTTGATAGTAAGTTTTCGCAACTTGAGAACTGTGTTTTTGGTCTCGGCTCACGACTTCTTGCTCTTCAGCAGAAAGTTTACGCGAGCTCTCCGTCTCAACAATCTGACGATATCTGGTCGGATGAACGTATTTCCCGATTGCCTGAAAAACGAGTTCTGACATCAGGTTACTTAACTGTTTAAACTGTGTTCCATTTCTTGTGACTAGTACATATTCGCACTGAGGGTTCAACAGAGGCCTAACATGGCAAATATAGTCGTCAAGGAGTCGTGTGCTCGTCTCATCAAGTATCAATGAATCAAAGGTGTACTGTTGTGCAGTTTTAAACTCAGTCTGGTCCACAAACCCATTATTCTCCCTCGACTTTTCAAACATTGATACTGTTAGAAATTGATACGTCATTGGGCGTGATCCTTTCACTCTTGTAAACATATACACAGCTACAAATCGAGTGGCAAATGTAAGGTCCGCAGGTGTAACGGCAGTCAAAGGATAGCCTTTACAATTTGTCAACACATCTTTGTAGCGTGGAAGATGGTACGGTATAACTCTCTCCATTTCTTCCATCGTCGCCCACTGATTACAGCCAGAAAGGACTTCGATCGACAGGTTTTTTGACCATTCGCTGATTTTCCTTTTAGCCAGTGCTTTTTTTCCTCGGTTTATGTAAACTTCAGAAACCGCCAAATTGCCAAGCACTGTTGCCGATAATCCACTGGATTTACGAAAGTCGATCAAATCTGTGATTGCTTGTAAATACCCAAATTGAGCTGAGCTGCCTAGGCCCCATTCTTTTCCGATATGCTCGATAAAACTGCATATAAGTCCTGCGGATCCTATGCTGTAGTCTACATGCTGTTCTGTGAGATTGTCTTCGTCATCTTCGCTGCAAAATTTCAAGAATTTCATTACGCGTGTAGCATTTTGTGTTGCCTGTGCTGCTGACAGTCCCCCGCCACAAACAGCACAAAGCCAATCGACATACTGCTTTCCAACCCCTTCAGAAATTGAGAAATGTGGCCTTTTAGTTGTATCTGCACGTCTTCTGGCACTTTCGATGTGTTTGTGACTTCTTTGGGTACTCTGTTCAGCCGACCTTTCAATAACTTTATCACTCGGCTTCACATCGAAAAAATAATACCATCTGTGCTTGGTGTCTATGTGTTTTCGGCAACCTCTTTTGCTGAAAAATGTACGATTCTCGCAAAATTCTATCGGACAGCGAAAGGTTTTATCCTTCGTTTCACGGAGTATGACAACACGTTTCTTACTGTGTGCCCCTTCGACCTTTGACCAATCCATTCGCACATTTTGGTATTTCTCTTTTCGAGACAAAATCGAGCATTTCAACCCTTTTTATTGACAACTTAGAAACAATTGCACACAGATTCTTTTCATGGAAAGAGTTAAATTTTCTCAATGGTATTGTTAGATATGCATGAGTTTAAAGCGTATGATAAAGCGCAATTTTATACTTGAACGAGATCAATTGTAAAAACGCATACAGCACTTGTATTCAGAATGTCCCCAGTAGAAACACAGGGAATCTAGAATGGCCAATTAGGTCACTTTTCGAGGAACGCCACACTCATTGGAAACTATGTGATCACAAGAGGACATAGAAACCCCCAACAAATCACAGTGATCAAGGAACGTGGCATCCCTCGAATATGTTCATTGGATAAAGAAAACAGTGCACATTGTAAATATTAGTCACCAGAGACATCTGAGTTCGCTTGGTGCAAGGACCATAGCATTGTTCTTCTTCCCCTGAAAATTTCTGTCTAAAGGACGGGGGCAGACTTTATACAAATACTGTAATACTCAGAAGTATACTTGCATATATAAAAAAATGTCTATACAATTTATTGAAATTTTCCTATATAAACGTAAGCGTGAGCAACCCTCTCTCTCAGTGAATCATATATTGCATTAGAGAGATATATATATATATATATATGTATATATATATAGAAATTTGTCTTTTGATACTTCCGTAGCACAGTGCTCAATACGTTAGCACGTAGAGCGTGATATATCATAGATTGAAGAAAGTGAAACTACATGGTTTATCTCTACAAGCCTGTTTCGTGAGTAACTCACTCTTCAGGAGATGTTGATATACTGGAATATTCCTCGAATAAATAGGTAATACGGTACAGAAGGTGTTACATAATGTGTAAGGTTATACAAAAGGTAAATTAGGGGCGGTACATAGAGGGATTTAGGTGTTACATAATAGTGTTTTGTTTCTATGGCGGCAAGAAGATACGAGTTCGTTTCGTTTGTTGAGTGTTGATAATTCGGGGTGGCAGATAATGAGGGTCTTTTCTTTAAGACAAAGGCTGCATCTTTTGTTTGAGCTGCTGTAGGATGGCTTTATTGAGAGGATGCGCCAGGAAATGGAGTGGTCGATTTTATTGTCTTTTAGGGTCCAGATGTATTTACTGAGTTCTGTGGAATTTCTGTGTTTTGCGTGACAGAAATCCATGCAAAAAACAAAATCATCGCAGCAAAACTGGGTATCGACGACAGAGTAGACTCTACAGCCAACAAAGACGCATTCATCACACTTAAAGATCACAAACCAAACTTCACAAACAAACCAGCATGCCGGCTAATCAACCCCACCAAGTCTGAGATAGGCAAAATCAGCAAGACGATACTCGATCGAATCAACCACAAAATCACCAATTCGCACAAATTCAATCAATGGAAGAACACAACATCGGTAATCGAATGGTTTAAAGCCACCGAAAGCAAACACAACAACACCTTCATCAGCTTCGATGTTGTAGACTTCTACCCTTCAATCAGCCAAGAACTCCTAAACAGAGCACTCGACTTCGCCTCAGACTACGACAATATCACAACTGACGAACGTAACATCATCATTCATGCCAAAAACTCCATCCTTGTTCACAAAAATCAACCATGGAAAAAGAAAAATAACACCACGTTTGATGTTACAATGGGCAGCTACGACGGTGCTGAAACATGCGAGTTGGTTGGAAGCTTTCTGCTGTCACAACTACAACACCTCGACATCAATGTTGGACTATACCGAGACGACGGACTAGCCATTTCAAATTCACCACCAAGAGTCACCGAAAATATCAAAAAGAAAATATGTCAAATTTTTAGCCACAACGGACTACGCATCACGATAGAAGCCAACAAACAGATCATCAACTTCCTAGACGTCACCCTCAACCTGAAAAAGGTACCTTCCAGCCATACACAAAGCCTGACACCATCCTTCAATATGTCCACCGCGAGAGCAACCACCCAATAACCACAGCAAAACATATACCAATCGGCATCAACAAACGTCTGTCATCACTTTCCTCTGACAAAGCATCATTCGACCAAGCCACGCCACCATACCAAAAAGCACTCAACGAAAGCGGATACAAATACACCCTACACTACGAACCAACTTCGAATACCACAAGAAAAAACAGAAAACGGAGTAACATACTTTGGTATAACCCCCCATTCAGCAAAAACGTCAGCACCAACATCGGACACAGATTCCTCAACCTCATTGACAAACATTTCCACAAAGACCACAAACTCAGAAAAATCTTCAACCGCAACACATTAAAGATCAGCTACAGCTGCATGAACAACATCAAGCAAGCCATTGACAGTCACAACAAACGCATCCTAAAGTCACACGACACCAGCACCACCCCGGAAAATACCAATGTCAACAAAACATGCAACTGCCGACAAGCGAACACATGTCCACTCAACGGGAACTGCCTACAATCATCAGTCATTTACCAAGCCACCGTCACACGCAGAGACAATGAAACTACAGAAACATACATCGGACTTACAGAAAACGAATTCAAGACAAGATACAGAAATCACACCGCATCTTTCCGTCACGCAAAACACAGAAATTCCACAGAACTCAGTAAATACATCTGGACCCTAAAAGACAATAAAATCGACCACTCCATTTCCTGGCGCATCCTCTCAATAAAGCCATCCTACAGCAGCTCAAACAAAAGATGCAGCCTTTGTCTTAAAGAAAAGACCCTCATTATCTGCCACCCCGAATTATCAACACTCAACAAACGAAACGAACTCGTATCTTCTTGCCGCCATAGAAACAAAACACTATTATGTAACACCTAAATCCCTCTATGTACCGCCCCTAATTTACCTTTTGTATAACCTTACACATTATGTAACACCTTCTGTACCGTATTATCTATTTATTCGAGGAATATTCCAGTATATCAACATCTCCTGAAGAGTGAGTTACTCACGAAACAGGCTTGTAGAGATAAACCATGTAGTTTCACTTTCTTCAATCTATGATATATCACGCTCTACGTGCTAACGTATTGAGCACTGTGCTACGGAAGTATCAAAAGACAAATTTCTATATATATATATATATATTAATCTCGTTAATCGAGTTGTTTTTTTACTGATCATCTATTTAAATTTTTTAAAAAACATTACAGTCTAGAGCTTTTGAATACATATATATTTAGTTTGCCTAGAATTATATATATCCGTGTGTGTGTTGGGGTTTTGTGTGAGGGGGGTTTTGTATGAGGGGGGTTTTGTATGAGGGGGGTTTTGTGTGTTGGGCATGGCGTTAGTTGGTTCTTTGCTAATTTGCTTCTCGGCTTGGGGGTGGGGGTTTGCGGGTGACTGGCTTGGCGTGTCGGGGGCCGGCGGCCCACTAGGTGGGCGTGCCGTGGGTGGCGGTCCACTGGCTCGGCGTGCCGCGGGCCGGCGGTCCACCCAGAGCCCGCTTTGGCGGGCTCTCCAAGAAGGGAAAAAAGTTTCGGGTATAGGGGCTTGCAAGAACCCGCCTTGGCAGTTTCTCCAAGAAAAGCTAGTCTTCCTTCCATAAAAAGGCAAAAAATATCAATAACTATAAATAAGGACGTAGTTCAATAGTTTAATTTATTGAGATGTATTTGGGCAAGGATCAAATGTTCTATTGTATATGGTGAAGTGTATCGTATTTGGAAGTGAGGATTTTCTTGTAATTAAAATAATATCTATATTTGAGACGATATTTGGTTTGATCAAGTAAGCAAAGAATAACTATCTTTTTCGCAACAAACAACTACATTTCGCGGCACAGCGTTTCTGCCCTCAGATGCTGTAGGTGAAAGGTTCGAAGATCGTCGCATCAGTTAATATTGAAAGCTTTATAACGGTTTCCATTCCATAAAGCAACTCAAGTATAAAGTATAACTATCCATGGGTGTAGCGGATGCTATGAAACTACCTACAAAGCATCAAAAGAGTACCGGCATTCTTCGTACACAGCGACAGGATACCTATGTTTAACCTGGAAAGGGCCTGGTTTTTTTGGATTAAGTGCCAATAAGAAATCTTGAAATCATAAACGTTTAGTTTTGTTTTTACCTTCATACCAAAGAAATATCAAAGGTAATCAACGGGGCAACTATTTTTTCCTGATCCTTTAATAATTTTAAAGAGATGAAGGTTTCTGAACAACCTGAACCGTTTCTTCCATTCAGCATATTTCACCTGAAATTCAGGTCCTGAAATTTCCTATTGAAATATCTTTGGGAGGAGGGGTGTGACACCCTCACAACCCCCAGTCACGATGTCCCTGTTTGGTGTGTGATATACTCTACCCAGGGTGTGACATACGCATGCCCAGGCCTGAAAGGCATCTGATGAAGCTTACCAGACCTAGCAAGTCACACGCATTTTGCGGGAGACACACTTCGGCGCTTTTTCATGCTCAAAGGCATCAAATCTGAATTCCCAGCAATTGGCAACAAACTTCTTGGTTTATTTAAATTTTTCAATTTTACTCCAATAGCAAGATCCCTCTTTCCTTACAAGGCATGTTTGCACAATAAAAGGGACTAAATTATTATACGACTAGATAACAGCCAATCCGTACAGGTTAAGTGATGTTAAACTTATTGACAAGCCTACACAAATAGTAGGTTAGCTTTTTTGCGACTATGACACATTGTGAATTGATTGAAAATGTAAAAGAGAAGCATAATATACAGGGATGCTGGAGAAGGGGGGTGCAGGGGGTCAACTGCCCCTGTTGCCTTTTAATAGGAGGAGCAAGAGGGGCCAGAGTGCCCTTTTCATTAAAGTGCCCTTGAAACCAGCCATTTGCACTTATCAGAGAGATTAATATGAAATTCTGATTGTAGTTTCATGGTGACATTTCTCAAAACTGGTAATATAATTCCTTGTGCCAAAATTTAGCCAATTTTCAGAAGATCAAACTTAAATGGTGGTTACAAAGGAATTAGTAGTAGCTGAGAAATTTGTTGCAAATGCCTTTTTACCCAAGCTTGCCCCTTGCCCTTTGGTCATTCCAACATCCCTGATAATATACCTCAGTCCTTTTCGTTTAGCGCGTGCGATCGCACCCGCACACGCCTGCACACGCGCGAGTTAAATTGCGCGTGCTTTTGACCACACGCGCAAACAGGTGTTTTTGCAGTTTTCTGTTAAAGGGCCTCTCCAGCCAAATTTTGCACTTGCATTTTATTGGCAATTTTTATAAAGAAGTTGAGCCTGCTGATCACGAATTCGTTATTTGTTTTTCGATATTTTTTTACAGTTTGTGAGATATAAGCTCTTGCATTTCGATAATTTAATTTAATTAACCGACAAAAATTTTTGGTTTGGTGACACTGTGACGCAATTTTGACGTCACAGTGTATTTCGGATAGTCTCGCCTCAAACCGAATCGAACGACGGCGATTCGCAAATTGAACACTGCAAGTGATGGTACTTTCAGTTCTGTTCCGCCAGCTTTTAGTTTGAGCATTTCAGACACCAATTCTGAAGCCTTTAGTTGTTCATCGTTTCTGGAGAACAACTGAAGTGACAATTTCGATTAATTATACGCGAGGGAAGAGCTGGAACAGGAACTGGAACTGGATGCAGTTATCAACGCGTGACCATGAGTCCTTCACGCTTCGGTGGAAGATATACGAAATTCATGGCGAACGAGAGCCGCACATTGTGACGTCAGAATGTTACCAAACTGATTCGGCTTTTGTCGTTTTTTTTCTCGGAAAGGTGCAACTTTAAAGCCTTACAACTTCTAAACTAATTGGAATTTTTCAAAAACAATGACTTTGTCATAATACACGCACCAGATGCTAACTTTTAAGTCATTAAAACAATTTTTTTTGCTGGAGAGGCCCTTTACCATCAATTTCCCATGGTCTCATGATTGTTTATCCTTTCCCTTGTTACTTGATTCGCACTTTTGACCACAATATGATTTTTCCAATTTTCGGAAGTGATGTTTGGCTTTTGACTGAGTGCTCCATTCAACTTAGCTCGTCTTTCAGCTAAGTCGCCATTAGCATGTTAAGTGTAATAACTGATTTCCTGTCAAAACGTAATTAGGCCCTGAAAGCAAGTAGCTGTTGGAAACAATTTTTACTTGCTCTTGTAACTTTGGAGAGTTACGACGACTTTTAAAAGATGGCTGCTAAGGGCAACAAAATCTGTTATGTATTGATTAATTGAGTTTTGCTCTTGCACGTATTCGAGTGGCTTTTTCCTTATTGCTTCTTTTACCAATTTTATCAGGTTTGTACTTCAAATTTTCTTACAAGTGCGATCGCACGCGCAAATTCGTTTACATGTGCGATTTGCCACACACGCGTAATTTTGCTCACGAAAAGGACTGATACCTTAAGTTAGTGTTTCAAGTAAGCAGATTACAATTGGAGTGGTCAGAGCGGAATAATTTTTTCTCAAGAATGACATTTGGGGTTGCAGTTACACTACGATGCTTTGCTTGCTTGTACACCTGCATTCCTTTCTCTGCATACCTGGTCCACAGAGCTTCGCACTTTTGCATTTGCACAGCACAAGTGCACCAGATTAAATTATTTAATGATTATGTACTGTTATAAATTCTATCTCAATAAAAACTTAATATAATGGCGAAAAATCCCCCACCCGCTTCTGTGGGGTCCCTGCTCAAAAAAGGCGTTTCCGAAGAACCATAGGGCATGGTTAAAAAAATGTTTTCTGGGGCTCTGCACCTCAATCCTACTTCTGGTTGTGTAGCAGTCCAGGATTCGTTCTGGACCATTCTCCCTTCCTTTTAAAATATCACTCAGCAAAACTTAAACTTGACAGGTCTGGCTTACAGGGAAACATCAAACAGGCTTTGAAGCTAGGAATTATCAAATGAACTTCTATACAATAATAGAAAATGGAAACCTAGGAGAAAACCCACAGCGAAGGTTATAATATCTTTTGCTTTCATTTTTTGCCTTAATCAGACCCATTTTAACCATAGATATTAATCACAAGGCAAAAGCTGACAAAAATGTTCGAAATCAAAATATATACATATTATCTAAAAACTTACTCACCATATAATCCAAGTCAATAAATGGGTCATTAATGGCCACAACCTGTAGTTCAGGTTTTTCTAGTGCTGCTCTGCAAACCAAACGCCCAATGCGACCAAATCTAAGGTTCATGATGAAAAAGTGTTATTAAATACAAAATTTACATGCAATTGCAATCATCATTTTCTGCAATCATCAAAATGGTCCTCTTTAGAATAAAGACAAAAATAGCAACAATATATAATCCAACAAATCAAAACATTAGAAGACTGTGTAAGACTCCTACCATAAAAATCAGCAACGATTGTCATACAATTGCAGAAATATTTACAAGTGTTTCAGCACTGCATTAACTTTTCTTACAACACAGCAAAATATAACCAAAAAAATGAAAAATCTGCCTTGCATTAATGGTTACCTAGCTTCCTTCTACAACAATGCAACTAGAGTGCTTTTAAAATGTATTCATTACAAATGAGGATCATGATATCATTTAACTGATGACTTTGAAGACAATCTTCAAGCAACTATATGTCCTTCCATCATTTGCTTCTGATATCTATTTAACACTTGATTTGTTGTTGATGCAACAGTAACAATCATGAGTGTACTCCAAAGCAGTGAGTAAAATCTTCAGTGTCAAAGCACGTAGTCATTTATGAAACTTGTTAGATATTTTTCTCAGGTAAAAAACGACTTAATCTTTCAGCTAAATAAAATCAAAAATGACATTGCTAAGCTATTTTCTCATTGTATGGCAGACATTAGCTTCCTATATCCAAAAAATGGAGGGTTTGTCATTTCTTCACAATGAGCCATAACTGATTTTAAATGGTTTTAATACAGCAGGTGAGCAAAAAGTATTGCACCACTTTGCTAAGAAGTGATGGGTACAAGGCTGTAACTTCAAAATTCAAATCATTTCAGGCCTGGCCATTTGGGGAAGACCATAGATCTTGTTCCCCTTCAGGCTCTCCTCAAAGACCAGAGGGGAGCTACAGATTGTTCTCTCAAATTGCTCTTGAAAGCAAGTTACTCTCCTTGAATTCAATTTTTCATTTGTTTCTATTCTTATCTATCTACAAATGGTGAACCTGGAAATTTCTAGGAATGCTGTTTACTGCTCCTCTGTTAAATGTCTTATGGCCAGGGCCGAATGTTTGAGGCAATTAGGCACCAGTTTGATGTTCAAAATCACTCAAACATTAATTGGCAACATTTCAAACTATCAAAAGTGTGATGTTTAATGTGACAGTATTGAATCTTAGGAGGGGCATATTTAAGCAACAATGACAGGGGGCAGGGTGTTAGACATTCATTTTGGTGCCGCACCCTTCAGGCCACTGGAAAATGATGGAAACATCCATTTTTAAAATTTTGTTTTTTAATTTTAAGTTAAAGATGTTAAGAAGCAGTGGTGTAGTCAGGGTTGAAAGTTTTGTGGGGCAAAGAGAAGAAAAGTTCTGCTATCCAGACCCCTAAGAATTTGGAAAAAACACCTATTTTGTAAATGCGTTAGGAAAAGCAATGACATTTTTACATGACAATTTCTTTTAATACAATGTCATGTGTAGTGCTTTGTGGCTGACTATATTTTACAACTGTCTATTTCCTTCACAATTCCACTAACATTTATATATATCCTGAATTGTGTAAGGTTAGGAAGCACTACATGTAAAAAGTGATTTCAAAGTTGTAATCAAATTTCTAAAAATGATTAACAGTATTCAAAAGTTTTAAACCAAGTTCGTTCTCCTTGGAGCAAAATCCACGACAAGCATTTCAGAATCAAGTTTTTTAAGAGTTGGATTTTTCTATTTTTTTAGTTTCTATTTTATCAGGAATGGCTCAAAAGCGTGAAGGACTTTTCTATACAAACCTGAAACTGCTATAGAAACGAGAGGAAATATATGCTACTGATAACTTAAACAATAAGTAGTACCGATAAGTAAATAAATAAAAGTGAAATCTTAGCATTACTTTGTTACTACTGTCTACCAACAAATGATTTTTAATGAATAAAACAAAACTTACCGAAGGACACAGAAATATTGGGCACCCCCTACACCCCCCATGCTAAATCCATCCCTGTTTAAAAGACTTACTTAATTAAAAAAAACTTCTTTTGCAGCAGGTCAGGTCTTTCTATTCAATAAAGTGACAAAATATTTTAGAAAGCAATTTACAACATCATTTCTTCAAACAATGTGTTATGAAATGGTCTCCAAAATTTGGTCTGCTGCTGTACAAAAACATAAGACAAAAACTTTCAACAAATTATTTACAGTCAGAAAAAATGACAATTTTTGGAATCCAAGTACAAAACAGGTATTTCAGAGTTCATGTCAACCAAATCTTACAAGCATTAGCAAAGAAAAAATTTTATCGCAAATATTTTATCCCTATTCCTATCATCAAAGCTAAATTCTCGTGTTAACATAATAGTTGATATTTTTGCTACCCTACCTTGATAAATTTCCCATTATTTTCACTGAATCATCTACCTTGAAACGTTTCTTTAAATTGCTTTAGCTATTTCACTTTTAGGTAGAAAAAATAATTTGGAGTTTTTTCAGATATGATACAATGCTTTTGATCACTAGTTGTACTGTACTTTTCCTACATTTCCCAATAAAAAACCTATCAATCTTGCTACCTACCCATTGATACCAACTTTGATCACCATGGCTTCAGTTTATTTCAACTACAAAAAATAGTACCCTCAATTATTCATGAAGACAGAAAACTCTTTGTTTAAATAACATAAAAGATAAAGAACTTTTGGCAAACAATGAAAAGATTGCAAAAAGAAGAGCAGAGCAGAGGAAGCAAGTTGGCATCCAATTTAAAATATCATTTGGTTGGGTAGCTCTTTTTCAAAAGCAAGACAGTTCTTTGACAAGCTGAATTGGGAGCTTATACCAACAAGGTCTTGGTCCGTCCACTTGATGTTACCACAACTTTTGATTTCTATGCTGGGAATTAGAGAGGAAGCATCCCCCTCAATCTCAATTAAAGTATGGTTGTGTCAGTAACTTGAACCACAGACACATAGCTCATGCTCACATTGCACAATCTTTTTTGCATCAGTGCCAATTTTAGCTACACAAATCCCTTACAGTTTTCAGAATGAAGTTTAAAGTAGTGGTAACTAAAACACACGAGTACATAAGATGCATTTTGTACTGTTTGTTTGGAAATGGAAAAACAATAGCCTAAATTTTATAATTTTTCGGTAATTAAAAGGGACAATTAAATAGAAATAAAATGGATATTTGAATAAAAATGCCAGAGAACTGTATTTAAAATTTTATTCAAAAAATAAACCTGAAAAAATTACTCCAGAGCTCAAGAAGAACAAAAACTCATTGAAAGAGAAAGAATTAAAAAATTATAAAAATAGGAAAAAAATTTTAGGGTCAATTAGCAGTTCACTAGCTTTGTTTATTAGACAGATTCTGAATCTCCTGTTTTCTCAGTTCCACAATAGGCTATTTTAAATGCTAAACGATAAATTTTGCAATGAAGCTGTCAAATATGAAAACAGGAAATTGGGAACCAAAGTGCGTTTATGTTCCCAAAATCTCATCTCTTTGTCATTTAGCTGCTTTTAACTGCCATAATCTGTTTTCACATCCTAAAACATAATCATTATGTCACTGTCATTGTTGCTGTCTTTATAAATTATTTCCATTTTTGCTGCATATTCTAAACATCCAGTTCCAAGACAAACATCAAAAGAATGTATCACAAATTTTCTCTTTGTTGTATCAACTTTTAATTAAAATTCATGGGAGAAAAGCTGGACTGTTTGACCACTATATTGGGTCATTTGATATTGTCATTTTCCATGTTGAATGAAATTTAATTGAGTTTACAAATGTTGGTTGCCAAATCCAAATTTGAAATCATCTGAAATGTTGGATTGTTCGAACAACCTCAGCCAACATTGTTGGCTCTGCCCACACATGAGCACCAAAATTCAATCATTGCATCACTGTTGACCTTCCAAGTTCGTTTCACTCATTTAAACATTCAAGTTTGCTTACAATAAATTTCACATTAATTACGGACAATATAATTAAAGATAAAAAATTATATGAGCAAGAAGAGGCATCAAGTCCAGCATACAGTGGCAATAAGGAGCCTGTAGCACAGAGGAGGTACAATAAAGTGCAGGGGAGGAAGGGAATTTCACCAAAAGCTTTTATTGGAGATTCTTGAAGATTGTGATGACAGTGAAAATATCTGAAATGCTGGGATTCATTCTATACAGCTACCAATACATCTTTTTTATTGATACTTTATGTTCTAGTTAAGTCTAGATATGGCCCTACACTCCCCTCACAAAAGTATTGCATCACCTTGTTCAAAATGGCGGCACTTTTTGTCAATATTTTTACAACACAAAACATTTGAATGCATGAATTGGGTGAAATAGGCATATTTTATAGCAAATTTTGGCAGGAAAAGTTTGCAAATTTTGCTGAGGCCATAGAATACCTAGTTAGAAATGTAAATTTTACGCAAAAACTTTATTGTTTGTAAAAATGTAGACTACGCCTAATAGAGAAAATTTGTCAAATGAGATGCGAGTCCCTATCAAATTTTTACAGGGAAGTGATCTTTAGTTTAAGAAAAATTGTTGACCATGTTAGATGCAGCCACACAACAGCTTCAATAAATCAAAAAAAAATTCTTTTCTTGAGAGTGCTTCAATAGTAATAAACCTAGAAGTGGATGAACAAAAAAATTGATGTAAGAGGGGTAGCGATTTTGTCTGTTTTATTTCACCATGGTTACACCAAGGGACAGTAAAAGACACGAAACTTGACGCTGAGCAATGTTTTGCAGCTCAAAATTCTTCCAAGCCAAAAATAATGAGTGTCTTACACAAATATAAAATAAAAATTCACCTGCGTAAAAGGAAACCATTTTTACAACGATTTATTTCCGAACAAGAAGAACTCAAGTTTTTCCATGTTAAAAGACGTTTTGAAACTGTTATTTTGAAAAAATGGTCTAAAAAGATTTAAGTTTTGATTTGTGGTTTTTTCACTTCTGACACACTCCCCATCGCCACTTAAAAACAATCAATTTCACACAATTTGCACCATTTTCCCTCCTTGAAGGTGGCACAATACTTTTGTGAGAGGAGTGTACACAGCTGTTTTGTCCTCTGGTTTTCTATAATAGCTTTAAATAAAGAAAAATGAACCCCAAATCAGTAATCAAAAGATTATAATACTATCAAGAAATGGTAAGAAACAGAGGTGCTATGGAGAGGACTTGGTGGGCTAACATGATGAAATTCAAATAAATTTTTTTAAGGGATGTAGCCCTCCCTCAACATGCAAAAACATGTTTGGTACAGCAAATTCTGTGCTACACATGTTAAGGACGAGATGCCCCTAAAAAAAATTCTTTGAATTCAGCAAACCTTTATTATTCAAAAATGTTGCATGAATAAGCAGTTTTGTATCCAACAACAGAGAATCTGCGCAAATGCAAGTACTCTAAAGGCTCTAATAAGGATCAAATTCTCTTCATACTAAATACAAAATTGTTTAACTCTTGACAACACTACATTCAAAATCGTTTAACTGTTCATAAATCTAAGTAGGGCAGTACTTTTGTATGAAAATATAAAATGCAGGGCCAAAATACCATCGCCCTGATGAGAATCAACTAATTAATTTTATATGGTCTTATGCAGTCAGAAAACTACTGGACGTGTATGACACGGATTTCTTGGATTGTCTTCAGCTTCACGACTGCTCCTGAACTTGTTTCTACACCGGGAAAATTAGCCTGGATATTTTTCATGGCCAGGATTTATTCAAGGACATGTAGTTGCATTAAAAATCTGCTGCATATTGTAAGAAACTAGGAGAAAGAGCTTGCAGCATATATTAACAATAAATTAACAGAAAAAATCATCAAGCAATAAACTGCAGCGGAAAAGGCTGCTTGGACACTTGGTTATTACCAAATGGGCTACATAGAATGCTGGTGCTGCTACTTACTAGGTCTTTTTCTTTACCTGGTTAGGACTGTTTATGGTAAAAAAATTCACTACAACATATTATGAGAATCTTCATTGAAAGGCCACTAGATGAAAATATTATGGATCTACCGATCTATATATTTATAGTTACAAAATAAAAGAGCTGGCTGTGGATATAATCATCCCTTTAAAAAATTTAACACTTTTGGAAACGCTCCCTTTTTAGTTGAAACTTGATTGAAATCTGTTCTTTTACTGTCAAAACGAGAATATCCATATTGTCCTAAAACGACAACTGTTGGCAAACTTCTGTAGGTAGAGAGCCCGCATGTGTTTGCGTGCATGTCGTCTACACTTACTGAAGTATTATTTCGTTGACGGCTACAGCACAATTCAAAATCGTGAAAATAATGCAACATTTACCTCACTTTATTGCACCGACTTCAATATATCAACCTTTTCTGGAATCGGAGGGAAACAAGAAGGGGCGAGCCTATTCTTGGCCAACACTTTTTAGAACCGAAGGTAAAAGATAGAACAGAGAGCTTGAACCCTATTGGTAAATTACGAAGATCCCCTTTGTTTATCTGGTCCGTGTTTGTGTTACTATTAAGCGCATGCGCTTGAAACTTCTTTGGACATGACCCTTGCCACGTTCCAGGGGATACTTGACGTCATAAAAATATATTATGAAAATTTGTCCATTTCGATCTTTTTTTTTAATTCATTAAAAGAATAAGTGAACAATGTCTTATGTGCAAAATCAGGTAAATGTCTTGCCTGAAATTATTTGATTGAGTTATGACCACGGCTGTCGCTAGAGATATCAAGGTACAGGGTTAATTTTCCGGTTGGTGGGCGTGGCTTTCGGGCGTGGCGTATTATTATTAAAAAACCTTTTTTTAACAGGCTCAATTTCCTCCACGTAGACCAGACTTTTCTTTATCAGCTAGATATATTGAATTGTGATGGTAAATGGGGATTTTCTGCTGTTTTGGGGGTAAATTGGGTGTTAAATCAGGAGAAGTTCCTGCTTATCCTCTGCGAAGGAAGGCAGTGGCTGGAAAGGCGTTTTAACCAAATAAATCTGGTCTAAAAAGTTGAATATGAAGGATAATTTATGTTTTGGTGAAGTACCTTTAAAGTTGTAAAATGAGCTTCAATTAGTCACGTAAGTTTAAATAACCCCTATTGTTATACTACACTTTAACTACTGTTGGATAACGGAAACCCTTCAACGCCATTACGTCATTTGCTTCAATTGACAATTATGTAATTATATTTATAGACGATGTTTTGTTTATTGCGTGGGTCGCTAGACGACATTATTTTACCTTATATGGACTTTTCTATTTTCGTCGTATGTATCTGTTAGTTTATATAAATGCTTGAGAAAAAGTTAGAGAGAGTTAGAAAATTGTCGAGACGAAGAACAGGAACCGAAGAGCCGAGCTCGACGAAGAACTGAGTAGCTAAGAAGTAGCATATAGTTTTGTTGATTTTTATATATCGAAGTTGTGTTTACGAAAGAATTTAGTTGTTCTTGCTGGAAACCTGCCGACACTATTTGCCATCTTCCGCTGACTGCAGCCGAGTAAAAGATCGTAAGTTGTGTTAAACTTTCTCTTTACTGCCCACTCGTTTAAACGTTGTTGATTAGAACTCACGCGTTAGATCACATTTGAAGTGTGATTTAACATATTGGTGCCCCGTGTGAGGAAGCTAAGAAGACAGTTGAAAAGAAACATTTCGATTCCAGTTATTTATCGTTATATTATTCCAATTTGGAGAGCGAGAGACCTGTACAGTGTTGTGTCTGAGGAGAACAATAAAAAGTTAAGATTACGTCATCTGACTTTTGCAGACCGTTGGAATTTTAAGAATTTCATTGCTCTTTTAATTTATTTAACTTTTAATATCACTCGGATCATTGAATATATTGTAATTCTAAACTATGGCTGAATTCGAAGCAACCGTCAATGATCTTCAAACGCGATTAACTGCTGTTCAGGCTGCTATCGAGGGCAATTCTCAAGCAAGTATGTTCAAACCTAGACCCTTTACAGGAGCACTAAGTGAAGATGTAAATGAATGGCTCGCAAAATTCGAACGTTTTGCAAGGTTTTACAGTTGGGGAAATGCTAAAAAACTTGGTGCCATGGTGTTTTTATTTGAGGGTTCTGCGCTATCTTGGTTTCAAACTCTCCCCGACGAAACAGCCAACAGCTTTAGTGATTTAGCAGAAGCGCTTAGGGCTCGTTTTGGAACCACGAACATTGATTTCATTCTAAGGCAGGAACTTTATGCTAGAAAACAAGGCCCCCTGGAACCCTTGGCTAATTATACTGAGGATATATAGGAACGCTTTTATGTGACAAGAATTGCAATGGTTCCTATCATATCTTGTGACTTTCCATCGTTGGTGTTCGCTTCGACGAATCTTATTTAACGTGCAGAGAACACGGAGCCAGTGAGAGAGGCAGTGTATTGCTGTATAACTCTGATCTGAACTGAACTTGACTGACTGACTGAATTACATACAAATTAACATACTTATATACAAAATAAATGTGCTGAGTAATGATGTGTTGTGATGATGTAATGATGATGCAATGGAGAAGGAAAGATCTAGACTTAGGAAGAAATCAGCATGACATAGATGTGTGAACGTGTGTACAATGGTGAAGGGAATGTCATGTGCTAGGTGATGTTGTGAATGACCTAGGTGGATGTCATGGTGATGGCATGATGTAGGAATATGGCCTAATTTACAATATTAAAATCACTACAATAGCTCCCCCCTTAGAATGCAAGCGGTTGTGAAGCATTCGATACGCAAGGGAAAAGAACTAGGAATAAATTTTAATATTGTAAAATCGATGAATTAAAAATATGAGTGAATTGCGATAAAATATTAATTGTTCGAAATTTAAATGTCCAACCGTTATAAATCGATGAGAGTTCGAGACGTGGCCGGTGTTTTCTTCTGTTCGTGATTTGGGAGATTTGTGCGAAGTTTTTACGTTGGATGACCAGGAACCAGTTTGTTGAGGAGTTATTGAGCGTTGATCTTGCGTGGAGGCACTGCGGTGAGTCGAGTGCTGCGATGCGTTGAGGGCACTACGGTGAGTCGAGTGCTGCGATGTGTTTGAGGGCACTACGGTGAGTCGAGTGCTGCGATGCGTTGAGTGCACTACGGTGAGTCGAGTGCTGCGATGCGTTGAGGGCACTACGGTGAGTCGAGTGCTTGTTGCTTGTGTTGAAGAGCACTACGGTGAGTCGAGTGCTGCGATGCGTTGAGGGCACTACGGTGAGTCGAGTGCTTGTTGCTTGTGTTGAAGAGCACTACGGTGAGTCGAGTGCTGCGATGCGTTGAGGGCACTACGGTGAGTCGAGTGCTTGTTGCTTGTGTTGAAGAGCACTACGGTGAGTCGAGTGCTGATGATTGTCGATAAATCCAAATGAGTTGGGTTGTGTGTGTGAAGCTGAGTTGATATTGACGAATCCTTGTTGATGAAAAACTTGATGTGTCTGATGCCATCGAAGAGTTGATGTTGTAGTTGAAGTAGAATTGACCAACGATGGGTTTGCGTGTCACGTCGTGGTCACCATTATAGGAACGCTATTATGTGACAAGAATTGCAATGGTTCCTATCATATCTTGTGACTTTCCATCGTTGGTGTTCGCTTCGACGAATCTTATTTAACGTGCAGAGAACACGGAGCCAGTGAGAGAGGCAGTGTATTGCTGTATAACTCTGATCTGAACTGAACTTGACTGACTGACTGAATTACATACAAATTAACATACTTATATACAAAATAAATGTGCTGAGTAATGATGTGTTGTGATGATGTAATGATGATGCAATGGAGAAGGAAAGATCTAGACTTAGGAAGAAATCAGCATGACATAGATGTGTGAACGTGTGTACAATGGTGAAGGGAATGTCATGTGCTAGGTGATGTTGTGAATGACCTAGGTGGATGTCATGGTGATGGCATGATGTAGGAATATGGCCTAATTTACAATATTAAAATCACTACAGATATAGTTAAACGTTGCCAACGCCTTTCCCTCAACGATAACGAGCTAATGAATTTATTCATAAATGGACTAAGTTCAGAATTGAAATCTCACGTAGTCCTAAACCAACCCACGACCTTTGCAGAGGCTGAAAAGCTAGCTCGTCTTAGAGATGCTGTATCGAAAACATCAGGGGTTAATGCTGTAGCTGCCTCCGGTCAAACGGCCCAGGAACATCGCATTAAGGAATTAGAGGGTCAGGTCCACCTGCTCCTGTCTTTGGCGTCTAACAAGAATTCTCCCAACCCGCCACCGTTGAATGCCATTACCGGTGATATTTCACACAATTTGTGTTAGTGCGAATAGCCCTTGGTCGTTGTAGTTTAAGCTATTTTTATCTAGCCTCGTTTTTACATTGCATTGTTTTCTTTACGCCTCTTAGTATACGTTTTATTAGCCCATATTTGGTATTTCCGTTTTTGCGTGTTCTTGCTTTTCCTCGTTTACTTCCGGTAGCTATAAAGGACTTGCACCCCACGTTTTGGGTGGTTATTTACTCGCCTTGCATTGCGCTGTGTTGGGGGCAGTTTTTCTATCGTTTACATGCAATTTTTGGCCTGGTAGTTTCTATATGCTGTGTTTGACCGTCGTGCAAAATTTTTATGGCTACGAGGACTAATAGATTGTAAGTTGTATGTATTATTATGTATTATCTTTCACTTTATTTATAAGTAGCTCATACTTAACATTTTGTAGTCTAGTTGGGTTTCTACGTAGTTCTATCTTCTGCTAACATTAATTAACCTTTTATAATTATTATTTTTCATTATATTGAAATATTAAGCTTCTTGTCGTATTCTCAACTTATAATCTTCATGTATGTTAATTGCTAACATTTTTCTTTAGCGAACCACGTTTAACACATCACCTCAGAACCTGTGTTGTTTCTTGCTGTGTTATCTGCTGGGGATTTAGGTGTGGTGCGTTCGATATACCAAAGTAGTCAGAATTACAAATTGTGGACTACAATTTGCATGATTTTATGTCACAACATGAAAATATTGTAAGCTACTTTGGAGATGGTAAAAATGAAATTCAGCAAGCCAAAACTGATATAATTGCTGCTATCCAAAATGCTGCTGATCGTAACGCACGCCCCCCTCAAGGTCAGTTCCGCCCGCATTTTAGTAACTCGGGGGGACAGCGTGGTCGAAATTTGCGGACGACTGATGGTCAACCAATCTGTAATTTTTGCCTTCGCGTTGGTCATGTTGCCCGATATTGCCCAGAACGCAGCGGACCTCACGGCAATCAACAGCTGCGTCTTCAGCCGCAACCACAGCCACAGCCGCGTTTTCAGCCACGGCCACAACCTCGTTTTCAGCAATTTCAGGAGTATCAACAAGATTTAAACGGGAACGGGCCTTCACAGTGGGGAAACTGAAGGCCCTGGATGAAGATCAATTAAGAGACACCCCTAGAGATAGAGATTTTGACTCATGGCTCTCAAAACGACAGAGCACTTTTAACCCTATCCAGGCTAGGCTTTTTGAAACTTTCGGGAGACTATGGGGGGGCACAAAGTATCCCCCTCCGTAATTTCTTTGTCCCTCTAGCTAGGACAATGAACTTTGTTTGGATGGTACTCTTATCTTTTTTCCACATTTTAGTATCATTGTTCAATTTTTAAGTCACGTGGTTTTACGATGACGTCATCATAATGGTGGCCGGGTGAAGCAAAAATTTAGAAAATTTTAGAAAATCTTAAAATATTCATTAATTCCAAAGCATCGGGCTAAGATATTAAAATAAGCAAATTTGATGCATTTTCTAATAGAAACAAGAAGATTGACACAACTTTAATGTTACTTCTCAAAATTATTAACGTTCCAAACAAAAGAACTCAACATATTTTGTATTTGGCTATAGTTTTTTCTATATAACTAAATAATCGATACAACCAAATGTCATGTTTGAGTTCATTTTTAATGCCTTAGCAGACAAATTATTCTAAACTTGCAGTTTTATTAATGTAATACCTAGTTTTGAAAACGCCCCTACACAACCCCCTGATTAATAATAAAAAAATTATCTTTTTATATGAACATGTGTCAGATAGGTTAAAACTAAAAGTCAGTAGGTCTGAGGGGTATTGCTTTGAAACTCCTGAAGTTATGAAAGAAAAACCAACTAGGGGGGCACTTTGTGCCCCCCCCCTAGTCTGGATAGGGTTAAGCAAGATAATGAATTGAAAACTGCTTCTCTAAATTCCCAAAGTGACTCAATTTCATCTAACATAGTGCCTTGCATAGACTCACAAAAAAGTACAATATCAAATGTTTCTATTTTTGGGACTGTTTTAAGTCAAAAAGTTCGATTGTTAGTTGACACCGGAGCTGCTATAAGCGTTGTTAGTGAACAATTTTACAAGAATACTTTGAGGGCCAGTTTTCTATTACAGCAAAACACTGTCGATAACATGAAAACTGCCGATGGAAACATAACTCCCGTGATAGGTCTTGTTTCATTTGATGTTACTATTGGTAAACACCTGTATAATTGCAATGCCTCTGTCGTGCCTAACCTTGCATACGATATCGTTCTTGGGAGGGATTTCCTCCACGCGTATGCTGCAGTTATAGACGTGAAGGGACAAAATGTCACTTTCGACCCTCAAAACATTATCGCTTTCGCGGGAAGCTATAGAACGCCCATTGTCTCAGATGTTAGAACAGCTAAAACATATGTAATTGAAGGCCACTCTGAAGTCATTATACCAGCTTATTTAGCCAAACCTATCGATCCTGTAGTTGGTTTGATTGAAACAAACATGAAATTAGTCGAAAACTATAAATTGATTGCCGCTGCCACCTTATCAGTACCAGATACTGATAACTGTGTCACTTTTCGTTTGATTAACCCAAGCGATGCGCCTGTTTTACTACATAAGGGGACATCCATTGGCACATTTTGCGAATTAGCCACTGATGACAGTATCACTGAATTAAAGCATGACCCAGTAGTTTCCTCCGTGGAAAATGTAACAACGTTTGACAGTAATAATGTGACTGCCATGTTTAAATGCTTACCAAGTCCCAATTTAACGACGTCGGAAAACAATCGCCTTAATTCTCTCCTTGGACAGTTCGCCGACATTTTTGCCTCATCGAGTGTAGATCTAGGCCGGACGACTGAAATACGTCATCACATTGACACGGGTGACGCAAGACCAATCAAGCAGCCACCGTACAGGGTATCCCACTCTCAGAAAAACGAAATTGAGAGTCAGATTGGGACTATGCTTGACCAAGGTATTATCAAAGTTTCTAGCAGCCCTTGGAGCTCCCCAATAGTATTTGTCAAAAAGAAAGACGGGACCACACGCTTCTGTGTCGATTATCGCAAACTGAACGCAGTGACCAGAAAGGACAGTTACCCGTTACCACGAATTGACGACGCTCTTGATGCTCTTGCTGGCGCAAAGTATTTTACAACGCTAGACCTTCAGTCTGGTTACCATCAAGTGGCCATGGATTCCGATTCCATAGAGAAAACTGCGTTTATATCTCATGCGGGGCTGTACGAATACAATGTAATGAGTTTCGGCCTAACAAATGCGCCTCCCACGTTTCAGCGCCTAATGCAACGCGTACTGCATGGCCTCGATTGGCAGATCTGCCTTGTTTACATCGATGACGTAATCATATTTTCGTCATCTTTTGAAGAGCATTTATCACGACTCACTGCTGTATTTGGTCGATTGCGCGATGCCAACCTCAAACTCAAGCCTTCCAAATGTCATTTCGCGCGCACTTCGGTGGATTTTCTTGGATTCGTTGTATCTTCGGAAGGGATTTTGCCTGACCCTAGTAAACTTGATGCTGTAAGAACATTTCCTGTCCCAAAGTCTGTGAAAGATGTGCGTAGTTTTTTGGGATTGTGCAATTATTACCGTCGCTTTGTGAAGGACTTTGCCAAGATTGCTTCGCCTCTCAACCGCCTTACGCGGAAGTTAGTTCCTTTCGTCTGGGACGAGACGCGTGAGAAAGCTTTTGAAGATCTGAAAATTCGTCTGTGTTCACCACCAATTCTAGCCTATCCCGACTTTTCCCAGCCTTTTCATCTCTATACTGATGCTAGTCAGCACGCTATAGGCTATATTTTAGGTCAAGTTATCAATGGTCGTGAAACTGTTGTTGCATATGGTGGCCGTGAACTTAGCCTTGCAGAAACACGGTACAGTACAACTGAACGCGAGGCTCTTGCAGTTGTTGATGGCGTTAAACGTTACCAGCCATATCTTACCGGTAAAAAATTTTACGTGCACACGGATCACGGTAGCCTCTCTTGGCTTATGAAGGTAAAGGATCCAACTGGAAGGCTTGCCCGCTGGGCACTAACACTGCAGCAGTATGATTTTGAAATACATTATCGTCCGGGTGTGCAAAATTGTGCCGCTGATGCACTTTCACGACGCACATACGGATCATCTATGCTTCCAAATGACGTGCCATTATCACTTCCAGTTACTGTTATTGACCATCCCTGCCCACCGTCTGTCCCTTTACGCACCCTTCAACGACAGGATGCCGACCTTTATGACATTATTGCTTATCTTGAACACGAAGACTTGCCGTCAACTGATGTTAAAGCACGTTCACTGCTACTGTCCATTGACTCTTATTATCTTGATGACAATGGTCTCCTTTGCCACTTCTGGTCTCCTGGTAAACGCAAACATCAATCACTACGCTCTCAAGTAGTCATTCCCGCTTGCCTTCGACACGACGTCTTAGTTTCGTGTCACGATGACCCAACTGCTGGCCATCTGGGGCCGATCAAAACTTACGACAAGGTTCGAAACCGTTACTATTGGCACGGCATGTTCAAAGATGTTGAGCATTGGTGTCGTACCTGCATCGACTGTGCAATGAGAAAGCGCCCTCGTAATCATCATAAAGCGCCGTTGCTCCCTATTCCCGTCGAAGGCCCATTTGACCGTGTTGCCATGGATATTCTGGGCCCGCTCCCTACAACACACGACGGTAATAGATACGTTATAGTATTTTCCGACTATTACACTCGGTGGCCAGAGGCCTACGCATTGCCATCCGTAGAAGCACCCCGTATTGCTCAATTACTCGTCGATGAAATTTTAGCCCGCCACAGTGCACCACGTACACTCCTCTCTGATCGTGGATCTAATTTTTTAGCATCCATTGTGAAATCGATCTGTGACATTATGAATACCCGTCGTACACATACAACGGCGTATCACCCGCAAACGGACGGATTGGTGGAACGGTTCAATGCAACGCTTTGCGAGGGACTAAGCATGTACGTGAGTACTCATCAGAAAGACTGGGATCAACACTTGCCAATGATTCTCTTCGCTTACCGGGTAGCACCACACGCAACTACCGGTGATTCGCCATTTTATTTACTTTATGGTCGCGAACCGCGCCTACCACTCGACACATCATTGTTATCACCGGATTCAAACGTCTCCAGTTCAGTTGCTGAGCTACGTTCGCGAGTCATACGCAATCTTGAGGAGTCAAGGAAAATCGTCAGTGCAAATACCCAGCTCGCACAGCAACGGATGAAAGAGCAATATGATAAAACCGCAGCACCGGTTCCATTCGAGATTGGTTCAAAAGTATGGGTGTATACGCCAAAGTCACGTAAAGGTCTTTCCACAAAGTTAGCACACAACTTCCACGGGCCGTATCGGATCGTATCCAAACTTTCGCCAGTGCACTTTAAGCTTCGCACAATGGATAATCGCCCAGTATCTGTGCCGGTACATGCGAATCGTATGAAAGCATATTATGACCCTTCAGATCGCCCGATTGCCGCTCCGTCTTCCGAAGAAACCTCGCCTGATTTAGCGGACACTGATTTGCCACCAGATAGCTTTCAAACGGCATATACAGACCGTCCGTCTCTTCCAGCGCCAGTGGACAACGCCCTTAATCGTCTCGATGAGGAGCCTGCTATAACACGGCCAGAGGACACTTTCACGCCAGCAGAGATTGTAGCTGTGTAGAGTCTCAAGCCAGGAGGCTTGATTTTTGTAAAGGGGGATTATGTTGGATAACGGAAACCCTTCAACGCCATTACGTCATTTGCTTCAATTGACAATTATGTAATTATATTTATAGACGATGTTTTGTTTATTGCGTGGGTCGCTAGACGACATTATTTTACCTTATATGGACTTTTCTATTTTCGTCGTATGTATCTGTTAGTTTATATAAATGCTTGAGAAAAAGTTAGAGAGAGTTAGAAAATTGTCGAGACGAAGAACAGGAACCGAAGAGCCGAGCTTGACGAAGAACTTAGTAGCTAAGAAGTAGCATATAGTTTTGTTGATTTTTATATATCGAAGTTGTGTTTACGAAAGAATTTAGTTGTTCTTGCTGGAAACCTGCCGACACTATT